GCGGCGGGGGGGGCGGGCCCAGCCGGTCCCCCGCGCGCCCCCCCGGTGCAAGGGCTTCCCCGCAGCTCCCAGAGGCTGTCCTGCCTTTCACAGGCCCGAACGCTTGCTCCAGAGAAGGCGTTTGCTGCTCTGTAACAGCCGCGTATCCTCGCGGGGCTCGCGTTTGCCTCTAGGACATCCATCTCTATTTGTTTCGACTTTAGGTCGAATACCAAAAAGCGTTGGACATCAAGTTAAACCCGTCCCGTCTCCCCCTTCCTTAACATCCACAACACCCTTGGGCAAGGTGTAAAACCGCCAGGCTGGCAGCGCCCAGCGCTGGTGCCCCCAGGCAGGGCACGAACACCACCGCTCCGGGACCCGGGGGCGCCCCGGGGACCTGGGAACCCCCCGGGAAGGGCTCCCCGCCGAGCCGGACCGGGAAGCACCTGGGGCGAGGGCGTCGGGTGGGTGAGCGTCCCCGCGTCTTTAGATCGCGCCTGTTCGGGAGCTAGACATAAACAGCCCTTTGGACCCCTTTGTGGGCAAGGCTCCATCTAAAAGCACTTGTCTGATGAAACTCAGCTCCAAAGACATTTAAAATTGCAGACTTCTCTTGTGACACACTTTTTTTTAAGGTGGTTTGTTGTTTACTCGGATAAGAAAGGTGGAATAGGCTTCAGGAAAAGGTCACCCCTGCCTATTATGGTCCTGTTATGGAAAGCAGCCGCCGTGGCTGCAGCAGGGCGCTGCTTTCCTTGGAGCCAGGGCCGAGGCGGCCGCCGGCTCCTGCAGCTTATCACGAACTGCAGGAAAGACACTTAATTTTCAAGACCTTCATTTCTTATTACCCAAAACGTTGATGAGGGCCTTATAGAGTCCATGGCCATAAAGGACAACAAGGTCCTAGTCTTGCTATTGATGAGCAAGAAGTTCACCCCAGACACGCGCCGCACAGCCCAGCAACACTTTCGTTTCCCCAAATTGGTGACCAGCCTCGCTCCAGAGACACCAGGAGATGGAGACTCGCAGCTTCTCCCGCTAGTTTACTCCGGTGGCTGGTTACCCACTCAGGTTTTTTTGCTGAGCATCTTGTTTGCATTTGTCAAAACTCAGCTTCCAGCTCGCCCTGCTCCGACGGGAGAGGGGACCTTGCACTGACGCGCTCCCTGGGCGCTGCCGTGCCGCCTGCAAGGCTCCTTCCGCAGCCCACGAACCACGCGGATGAGAAAAATCATCGTTTAGTGGAGGATTTTCCTGATAACAACAATTAGTAACGCAAGCTTGTGTTAAACTGTCACTGAGGAACAGCGTGCACGGGAAAACACAGCTCACGCTCCTCACTCACGCGGCCAGGAGACCAAGCCGGGGTTAGCATTTACGGCGATGAGACTCTGCCTTTAACATCAGATACAGAGCAGCAGAACTAAGAACAGCGTCCTTCCAGCTGATTTGCCTTAGACCTGAAGATGACAACTCTGTCTTCCTTATACAAATCCTGTGGAGTGAGCACAATTAACTCCCTGCGCCTTCTCAGGGTAGTAAATCAATGCTGAGCTGACGGCGAACCCAGAAACCAAGCGACTTTCTTTGGGACGGGACGGGGACCGCGCCGGCAGGAGCTCGGTGCCCGAGTGACGATGCGTCTGCCGACGGTTAACCGCGGGGGTCGGGGGCTGGAGCCGAAACCTGCCATTCCAGCATCCTCTGCTCCTTCGGGGAGGGACGGTGCACAAAGCCTGAGCCCAAACCCAAACCCCAGCCCCGGAGCCGGAGCCAAGCCTTCATTACAGCTGGCTGCTCTCCCGAGGGGCGGCTGGGGGAAGCCTTCCACCCGCCACCACATGACGATCCTTATTTTCGGTTTTTGCTCCCGTTTTGAGCCTCATTAGCAGTGAGGCACGGGGATTTTGGACCCGAGCTGCTGGATGCAAACCCC